GCAGGGGCTTGTGAGCTAGGCCTGTTTTGGTCAGGTAGGCCCAGAGTCCCCATGGAAGAGCAGGAGGACAGTAACCGGCCTGGAGATGGGGGCAGGGAGACAGCATGCATTGCCCTAACCTCTCTGAGTGGGGGTGGGGAGGCTGGTTGTGTCAGGAATCAACCAACTGAGACTGCATTTAAAGCCCCAGAGAGGCCTGGCCAGTATGACTCAGTGGTTGAGCGGCAACCTATGCACTAAGAGGTCACTGGTTTGATTCTCAGTCAGGGCACATGCCCAGGTTGTGGGCCAAATCTCCAGTAGGGGGCATGCAGAAGGCGGCCAATTGATGTCTCTCTCATCAATGTTTCTATGTCTCTCTCCCTCTCCCTTCCTCTCTCTTTAAAGAAAAAAAAAAAATTACCAAAAAAAAAAACAAACCCCAGGCCCAGGAGTCGGGAGCAGAACATGCCGGATCCTAGGCAGGGAGGAGGGTGAGCAGGACTGAATGGCTCCATACATGCCGCGTCCCTCCACTGCTCACCCTGGGCGTAGAAAGGATACAAGTACAACTCGTGCACGGGGAATTTTGTGTATTTTTTCAGCATGCGTATATTGCAAAACCTGTACAGCACATGGCTGCATTGTTCTATGCCTGTCAAAAGCCACAATGAACACAAGGCAATTCGGGGTGGGGGTGGGGCGGAACCCCAAAGAGATGAGACAGAGAGTACTTATGTATGTGCGCATGCGCAGTCCTATGTACGTGCGCCCACTGCTGTCCTCCTCTCTGCATGGTCTGGGTGGTGTAGGCACCAATGCTGGAGTACGCTCAGGCTCATGTGGGCCAGCGTTCGAAGCCTGTGTGCAGGATGATGACCTCACCTCTTTCTCAAACTTTTGTCCTCTCACCTTCCGTGGGCAGTGGTGTTCTGGTCAGACCTGTGCTCTTCCCTTGGAAGAGGTGAGAGGAAGTCTTGAGATCAAATGCTTTGTGACTACGTTCAGGAGAAGTTGTTGACCTGGTCTTCTGCTCCCTAGTTAAACTACTAAAGGACCTCTAGCAAAGACCAGATCATTGCATTTAGATGACAACGCTTGAAAGGAGAAGGGCAAGAAAGATGGGCTAGTAACTAGTGGGGGACTTAGGATTCACCAGGTCTTTTTTTTTTAATTTTTATTTTTCAAACCTCACCTGAGGACATTTTTCTATTTAGCTTCAGATAGAGTGGGAGGAAGGGGGAGAGAGAGACACACATCAATGTGAGAGGAACACATGGACTGGTTGCTTCCCACACGACTCCGACCAGGGCTGGGGTCAAATTGCAACCAAGGTATGTGCCCTTGACCGGAATTGAACCCGAGACTCATTGGTCCGCAGGCTGATGCTCAACCAGTGTGCAACTGGCCAGGGCCACGAAGTATATATTTTTTAAAGTATTTTTTCTTTACAGATTTTAGAGAGAGAAGAAGGGAGAGGGAGATATAGAAACATTGATTGGCTGCCTCCTGCATTGCCCCCACTGGGGACTGGGCCCACAACCTGGGCATGTGCCCTGAACAGGAATCAAACCGGCAACCTCTTGGTACATGGGTTGATGCTCAACCACTGAGCCACACTGGCCAGGCCAGGAGGTCTTTTTGAAGATGGGAAACAATTATGCTTTCTGTGGGGAGGGAGCCAGGTCACAGAAGCTGGGAGCAATAGTTAATGGGGCAAGATCCCAGGCTGGACCAAGATGGGATCAAGGGCTAAGGTTGACCCTCAGGCCTCTGGTCTACAAAGTGGATGTAGATGTAGATAAAGGTAAAAACAGAAAGCCAGAGGTGAAGGCAATGTGCCTCTGGCTAAAATGGAAGAGAATTGCCTAGAATCACAGGGGGTGGAGGGTAGAGATCAAGTAGGCTGGATGAGCTGTGAATTGCTAGGGACAAGGCCCCCTGGGTAGGGCTAGGAGCAGCTTGAGACAGACTAATCCTGGAATAGATGAGATAGAAGGAGTGATGCTGGAACAGGTTTGGAGAGCCACAGGTGGGTTCCTGGAGTCCATAATTGTTAGGTGGAGCGGTTCACTGATGACCAAGGCCTGAGTGCTTGGCCTTGAGCGAAGAGGAGCAGAGTCTGCCAGGGAGTGAAGGAAATGTATGTGGACAAGTGCAGACACAGCCTTCTTTACTGTGACTTTGTATGTCCTTCCCCATCAGTCCCAGTTTAATATGTTCAGGGAAAGCTAATGTCAAATCTCTTTTTCTCCATATCAAGAAGCCAAAGCACAGATAACAGAAAAAAGAAAAAAACAAGTTTAAGTGTTCATGTGGTAACACAATATGAGGTGGGGCAAAGTAGGTTTACAATCATTAATAAATAATAATAGAAGAATAAACTGTTTCAAGTACTCACACTGTAAACCTACTTTTGCCCCAACCCGTATTTGCATTTGTATAACCAATGTTACCTGCAACCAGACCACATGTGATTTCTGATGTTCCAGGAAATACCCCGCCCCCAACACCAGGTAGTGCCTCTGTTCTTTGAAGACCCCCCATTAGGAGCTGGAGAACTGTATATCTGCCCCCGTAGACTTCACACTCAGCTCTGCAGCCTCTGCTCTGTTCAAGATCACCTTTTAAGGCGAAACAATCTTAATAACTCTCCTTTTTAAACTTTAGGGTCTATGTATGGCTAGGCCTTCCCTAGGGCAGTGGGGATGAGAGTAAATGTTTTTATATTCAAAGACTGTCCTCTCCTGTTAATATCAGGTCACAGTGTTTGGAGGTGGTGCTGTCAACAAACTGCTGCAAGTAAGGGCAACTGTAGGGAACCTGAGAAGTAACTTGTTTATTTTCAGCCTCTTCCACTACTCTCCCTACGTACACCTACTTGCAAGCCTCCAGTGACCCAGCGTTTCTTGGTGCTCCCTCCAGGCTTGCAGTGTGTGGTTATGTAGGTTTCTCACTGTACATGAGCCCTATTTCTTAAGGGGCATGATTCACAGCATAGACAAAGTAGTGTAGATTATGAGTTTTTAAGAAGGTGGCAATAAGTTGTCTTGAGGAAGGAAATAGGGCATATGAGGTAACCTAGCCCAGCCTTTCTGAATGCATTGTGCTCTGTACCTTTAAAGGGGCTGGAACCTTCTAGACCAGTGGTTCTCAACTTTCCTAATGTTGCAACCCTTTAATACAGTTCCTCATGTTATGGTGACCCCCAACCATAAAATTATTTTTGTTGCTACTTCATAACTGTAATTTGCTACTGTTATGTCTTAGGTGATCCCTGTGAAAGGGTCATTCGACCTCCAAAGGGATCGCGACCCACAGGTTAGGAACTGTTGCTCTAGATTGTCTGGCCAACTTGGTCCCTTACCGTTCAAGGTCCAGTAAAGACACCACCTCCCTGGTGACACTTTCTCAACCAGGTGTGGCATGTTCCTCTGAGCCCCAGAGCCCTTGGCACATACCTGTATCTTCCCACCTCACACAGGATGTTATTATATTTCACATCATATTCACCTTGCAGTCTGCCCCCGCCCCAACCCCCCTGCTGATTTGTTAAAGAAAGAATAGTGCACCTGTAAGGCTAACTTGTCTTATCAAAAGCTTAGGTTTGAGAAATACTCATCAGCAAAAACCATCTCTAGTATGCCATGGGTCCATTTAGTCTTTGAGATTTTATTTTTGGATCAGGCTAACCCACTGGAGCCATGTGCCCAAACAGTGCAGTTCTCCAGGCCCCGAATCCTTTGACCAGTGTTTGGCTCATGCCCTGACTGGTGCTGAGGGACAGTGTAAGAAACAGCCATGTAACATTTCTGTGTTTATGGCATGGCTGTCTAAGAGGATGTTATTACATTTCACAGGTCTGCTTCCTAAGGTCCATGAAAAATAAGTTCTGTGATCTCTGTGCCAGGAACATTTTCCTTCTTTTGAGCATGGTGGTGTTTTTCACTTTGCAAAGTGAGTCATTTGGTTACAGAGAAGCTAAGATGTGCACTAACTGAATTGCTCTGAACTAACTTCTGCCCATCTTCTCTGGAATATGATTTATCTGTTCTAAATAACCTTTTGTACTGTGGTGACACACATTTTTGGAATGAGGCAGATAGCAACTCCTGCCCTGGGCACACAGCCATCACGTGCAGAGTTGAGTCTGGAACCCAGGTGCTTTAATTTTATCAGGCACAGACTAAAAGAAACCAAATGGAAAGAAAGTAAGTCCTTCTAGGTCAGCCTCTGGGATTAGGTACTGCCAAAGACACCTACATCCCTCTCTTCAGACCCCAAGGGGAGCCTGGAGTCTCTGGCAGAACTGCGTTGAATAGAGCATTTAGGATTATCAAACTGCTGGGCCAGTAGGTCAGAGACCCTGGGCAGGACTCTCATCATTACATAACCTTAGTGTCTCTTCAGTGTCCACCTAGAACATGGTGGGTGTGCAACAAAGAGCTGTTACTGAATGAGCCTCACTTGGGCTTAGCTATTCCCAGGGCTAGGGTGTCCCACCCTTTGCCTGACTCTTCACTACATCAGGTCTGAAAGTCAGGATCATGTGTCCTAAAGGGCAGGGCTGGTGTGGCCAGGACAAAATAATAATCATTGCCTGTGCCCGGCTGGTGTGGTTCAGTGGTTGAGCATCGACCCATGCACCAAGAGGTCTCTGATCCGATTTCCCATCAGGGCACATGCCCAGTTTGTAAGCCCTATCCCCAGTGGGGGGCATGCAAGAGGCTCCCTCTCATCAATAAAGGAAAAAAAAAAAAGCCTGTAAGATGACGTTAGGGACAAACGTTTCCTTTCCAGATCCCTCCTGTTTGAGGGAAGTATTTTCAGATAACTTTAATCCTGGGACAAGAGTGGTAAATCCAGTATTGTGGACTTGGTGCTGGAGAAGGTGCCCCAGGAGAGTGGTGGATGCAGGAGAACCAGCCTGTCCAAAGCTGCAATCTCCGTGGGGTTGGGTAGAGGTCGGTGGCCTCTGAAGGACCTAATCAGCCACCTTCTCTCTTGCAGCTCTGTTGAAGATGCACTGGACACCGGAACACGCCCAGCCTCTCAACCAGTGGCCAGAGCAGCACCTGGACGTCTCCTCCACCACCCCGTCGCCAGCCCACAAGTTGGAGCTGCCCCCTGGGGGTCGCCAGCGCTGCCACTATGCTTGGGCACACGATGACATCTCTGCCCTCACTGCTTCCAACCTCCTCAAGCGCTATGCAGAGAAGTACTCAGGGGTCCTGGACTCGCCCTACGAGCGCCCCACCCTGGGCGGCTACGGGGATGCCGCCTTCCTCAACGGCGCAAAGGGGGACCCTGATCCCTGGCCAGGACCAGAGCCACACTACCCCTTGGCCTCACTCCACGAAGGCCTCCCGGGAACCAAGTCGGGCAGTGGGGGCGGCTCCGGGGGCCTCGGGGGCTCCCCAGTTTTAGCCGGGAACCTGCCTGAACCCCTCTACGCCGGCAATGCGTGCGGGGCCCCGTCCACAACGCCCGAGTACGCAGCAGGATACGGCGGGGGGTACCTGGCCCCGGGTTACTGCGCGCAGACGGGAACGGCGCTGCCCACGCCGTCCCCCGCCGCGCTGCTGCAGCCCCCGCCTCCGCCGGGCTACGGCCCCTCCGGGCCTCTGTACAACTACCCTGCGGGGGGCTATGCTGCGCAGCCCGGCTACGGGGCTCTGCCGCCGCCCCCGGCCCCGCCGCCAACCCCCTACCTGCCCTCAGGCCTGGCGGCGCCCACGCCCCTGCCGGCGCCCGCCGCGTCCCGGCCGGCCCCCACCTCCTACAGCTTCCAGGCGGCGGCTCCGGGAGCAGAGGCTGGGATGTCCCTGAAGCGCAAGGCCGCTGACGAGGGCGCAGAGGGCCGCTACCGCAAGTATGTCTACGAGCCTACCAAGGCCCCGGCAGCCGACGGCGCCCCCTACCCCGCCGCGGACAACGGCGAGTGTCGAGGCAACGGGTTCCGGGCGAAGCCGCCTGGAGCAACGGAGGAGGCGTCGGGCAAGTACGCTGGCGGCATCCCTCTCAAGGTCCTGGGCTCCCCGATCTACGGCCCGCAACTCGAGCCCTTTGAAAAGTTCCCGGAGCGCGTCCCAGCACCTGCTCCCCGAGGGGGCTTTGTCTTGCCGTCGGAGGAGCCTCTCAAAGGTGTGGACCCGGGGTCCCTGGAGCTGGTGACGAGCAAGATGCTGGACTGCGGGCCCCCGGTGCAGTGGGCAGACGTGGCGGGCCAGGGCCCGCTCAAGGCGGCGCTGGAGGAGGAGCTGGTGTGGCCCCTGCTGAGGCCGCCCGCCTACCCCGGCAGCCCACGCCCGCCCCGGACCGTGCTACTCTTCGGACCGCGGGGCGCGGGCAAGGCGCTGCTGGGTCGCTGTCTGGCCACGCAACTGGGCGCCACGCTGTTGCGCCTGCGCGGAGCCACGCTGGCCACCCAGAGCGCCGCCGAGGGCGCGCGCCTTCTTCAGGCCGCTTTCGCGGCTGCGCGCTGCCGCCCACCCGCGGTGCTGCTCATTAGTGAGCTGGACGCGCTGCTGCAGACCCGGGAAGACGGCACCACCGCCACTGGCGCCCTGCAGGCGCCGCTCCTGGCTTGCCTGGACGGCGGCTGCGGCGCGGGGGCCGACGGCATGCTGGTCGTGGGCACCACCTCGCGGCCCGCTGCTCTGGACGAGGCCACCCGCCGGCGCTTTGCACTCCGCTTTTATGTGGCGCTGCCCGACGGTACGGCCCGTGGACAGATCCTGCAGCGGGCGCTGGCCCAGCAGGGCTGCGTGCTGAGCGAGCGGGAGCTGGCGGCCCTGGTGCAGGGCACCCAGGGATTCTCCGGGGGCGAGTTGGGACAGCTGTGCCAGCAGGCAGCGGCCGGGGCGGGCCTCCCAGGGCTGCAGTGCCCCCTCTCCTACAAAGACTTGGAGGCGGCACTGGCCAAGGTGGGCCCCCGGGCCTCCCCCAAGGAGCTGGACTCGTATGTGGAGTGGGACAAAATGTATGGCTTCGGACACTGACAGTACGCTGGGGAGGCCACGGGAGCCGCTGCCCTTCCCTCCCCGGCCCTGGGAGGGATGTCTGTAACCCTCCAGGCTGGGAGGGTGCCGAGTGATGAATGTGGGGAGGGAGAAGGGAGGGGGCTGGTGGATTTTTTTTTTTTTTTCCGTGGGAAGGAAAATGCTTCTGCTAGGCAGATAGATGCCATATGCGCTGTGTACTCAGGATTTTTCTATTTATTGTGGACGGGAAGCTCGCCATCTCAGCTCCTCAGATGGGCACACCCCGATGGGCTGACACCCAGGACCTAAGGAACTCCTGCTCTCTCGCCACAATCCTTTTGTCTCCTCGCTCCCAGAATGGCTCCTTGCTCCTCCCTCCACTCTCCCCTTTTTCTTTGCCTTCACCTACTTTTCTCTCCCTCTAGCTTTGTCACTGCCCCCCCACCCCCAATCCTGGCCCCGTTTCTCTCTTGTTCCTCCCTCCCCTGTCCCCATCTATCACCTTTTGCTTCTGTCTCCATCCCTTCTCTTTAGCTCTTCTAGTCTCTTGGTCCTTCTCCCTGCCTTCTGTCCCTCTCATTCAAAGACTGCAGTGTCCCTTTCCAGGAGATCTGGAGGTCCAGAGGCTAAGGAGAAGGGGATAGGGGGTTCCCTTCCACCCCATTACCCCTGAAACCTTGGGCCTTGGAGGGGGGGGCATCAAGCAAAAAACACCCAAAGAAGGGTTTTGTTGTTTGTTTTTGAGGGGGAAATTACAGAAATGTAGCTTGTTTAATATTTAGGCCTCTTATTTTTGTAAGATGTGTAGAACTTGATGTTTTTCTTTTTCTTTTGACAACTCAGGAAGAAACTGACCTCAGAAAGAATGTTAGACTTTGGCTACTCTCCTGTGTGTTCCCCACCACACACCCTTAACCCTCAGAGGAGCAAATTCTCCCAGAAGACTTAGAAAGTGAGACTTGTGGGGAAGGGGAGAAGGGGACCAGAGCCACATTTAGACCCCTGCTCTTCCTGGGACAGAAGCAGAATGTATTTTAGGGCTTCCTCCCCAGTCCAAGGTTGCAGGCAGGGGTGTTGGGGAGTGGGATGTAGGATTTGAGAGCAGGTAGATCTTGCTCCCTTTCTGCTACTCTTCTAACTGGGCCCCACTCTCAGCTTAGTATTTTCTATGAAATAGCTAACCACACTTGGAATGCCCTTGCCCACTTCCTGCCCCAGACTCTGAGTAGTTTGAGAGGGCCCAAATGGGAAGGTGACGTAGGCCAGAGAGGCCATCTCACCTGGCCATTGCCCAGACAGAGGTCTATAACTTAGGCTAAGGATTCCCTCTGGAGGGAAAGACAGTTTGGTCACAAGTCAGGTTGGGCACAAAACTGACTACAGACTCAACCCCTGTCTGCTAGGAGGCTCTGAGGAGGGGTGAGCATCTGACACAGGAGAGGTTCTATGGCGAAGGGTTCCTCTCATTCTCTTAGGGTCCTGGGTCTTGAGGGCAGGGAGTGTGAGAGAGGCAGGTTGTTTTTCCTTAACATTAGGGGTTTATTCTCAGTCATACACACACTTTCCACCAGAAGCCCAAGCTTGGTGGGCTTTCTTTTGAGAACCATATTTCTCCTCTTCCCACCAATTTCCCTTAATGGGACTTCAGCAGTTTGCCACCTCCTCCTTAGGGAGCCCATTTCACAACTCTGACCTTTAGTTCAAAGTTGAGGAGAACAAGCCCCCACCCAGAACCTCTCTTCTCTCCTACCCCAGCCCCCTTTGCTGTTCCCTGCCTGCCCTTATAGCTACTACAGTCTCTGTACCACCTCTCACTTCCAGCTGGAAGGGTGTCCAGGGGGAACATTTCAGGTGCCAAGGGGCCGAGGACCTGTGCTGGCCTAGCAGTGTAAGCAGGAAAAGCTGCTCTGTGTTTTTCCCCTTTTCACCCTTGGTTTCTTTCTGGCCCTCCTCTGCTTGGAGCTGGCTGTTTGTAGGATTTTGGTGCCTCTGAAGCAGTGGGGTGGGCTGTAGGGTCTTGGCTGTGAAAGGCCCGTGGAGGCAGCAAAGAGTGAGGAGGTTCTCTCAGGTGTGTGTATGTATATGTTGGGGAGGGGGGAGGGTCGTCAGGGAAGTGGGGTTGGGATTTCTTCCCTTCCAGAGGCAGGCAGCTCTGGGGGTGGAAGGGGGAGCTCACTGATTGAGACGCACTGCCTCCTTTACTGGCCTTGGGGAACTTTGCACAAGGAGACATCCCCCAGTCTACTAGCACCTACCTCATGGGCACTGGGGTGGGTGGGGGAAGGGCAGGTCCAGCTCTGGCAATGTTGGGGGGGCATACCAAAGAATCCAGGGGCAGGGATTGGGAGAGGGCAGATTCAGCAAGCTGGCCCTCTCCTTCCTCTACCCAGATTGGGGTTGGGGTCCTCTCCTCCAGCTGTAACCATTTCTACCTCATTTTGCTGCGTGTTGTACATGGACGTATTTATCTCCTGTCTGATGATGCTCTGCAGTTGTGGTCTGTCTACCTCAGAAGATACTGTATTTTAAAAGAAAGTATTACACAGTATTAAAGCAATGACATGTGGTTTCCAGAGGATTTCTTGGGGGCAGCAGGATGTGGGGAGCCCTCTGGGGAATATGTGGGCATCCAGGTCCATCAGTGCCATTGGTGTGATGCTGTGGATGCTTCTATTCCTTGAGCAAAACATTATTGTGGAACACCTGTTATTCAATCTGGCACTAGAGGTGCCCACCAGGCACCGGGCCCTGAGGCTACCAAGTGAAAAGCCACACTCTCAGGCTCTGAAAAGCCTCTGGATAGGGAAGGCCCTTATGCAATTCTGAGCCTCAGAGGCTCAGAATTGGGGTTGACTCATTGTATCCCCAGAGCTCTGAAGTGTGGGGTGGGGACAAAGAAAGGCTCACATGTTTTTTGAATGAGTCGATGAAAGAATGAATAAATGAATGCATGGAGGAAAGGGGCAGATGAGGAAGGTTCACTCACAACCTGGATAGCAGCCATTGATGGCTACAGTGATTATACTTGATTCCATTCTTGCATGGAGGGAAAGTGGGCAGAGGTCAGGGTGTGGAGATAGCCGAGTTCTAGTCTTTAAAGTCACACAGGATCCTTTGCCACCATTTGTCAATCCTCAAACTGTCTTTGACAACTCATCATAAACTGCGAGACTGATAAAATTAGGAAGAAGTTTTCCGGCCAGTGTGACTCAGTGGTTGAGCATTGACCCATATACCAAGAGGTTGCCGGTTCGATTCCTGGTCAGGGCACATGCCCAGGTTGGGGGCCAGATCCCTAGTTGGGGGCATGCAGGAGGTGGCCAATAGATGTTATCTCTGATCGATGTTTCTATCTCTCCCTCTCTCTTCTTCTCTCTCTCAAATCAATGAAGAAGAAGAAGAAAAAAAAAAAAAAAAAAAACTAGGAAGGAGTATCTTGCTGAAAAAGCTGTGTGGATACACTCATGAGAGGTTTAGACTCATGCTTCCTGAGGTCCTTCATAAATGCTCTAAAATTATTGAAAGTGCACCGGAGTGCAAGGGAAGTCGTGCACCCAGGGCTCAGGGCTTAGTGTATACACCACGCTTTCAGGAGGTAAAGCAGTTTCCCCTCAGAGAAACAACTGAGGGTGTGCCTGGACATGGGGGCTGCAGGGCATTGCTCCAGGCTTCAGCAACCCCAACTCTCTTGTGTCTTGGATGTCCAGACATTTGGTTTGTTATACACCTACTCTGTGTGGACACTGCATGGCACAGAATATAGAAATGATTAAGCACAGCCACTGTTCTGGAGAGCCCACAATACAGGGTGGGGAAAGCTGAAAAATGGATCATTTGAAAATACAGTTACATAAAGCTGCTTGAGGAGGGACCATATGAAAATGTTTATTTTCATGCCTGGCACAACATTTGGTACATGGAAGACACTGAATAAATCCTCGAATTAATTTCCAGATAAGTGTCTATGATGCAGGATGCACAGTCTATCTCAAGAATGTCCAGAAAAGACTCATGATGGTGGTGGTAGGGTGTCAGAAAAACTTTCTGGACAGGAGAGGGTACAGCTGACAAAGCTATGGAGGCTGGCAACTGCTATGGAGGCTGGCAATCTGTGATTTGTTATAAGAGCATAAAGTGAGGGTGGGAGTGGGGGGAAGTGAGGCTGGAGGAATCATTGGGATGGAACCACTGCGCCATGAGGAACTTCTATGCTCTGAAGAGCTGAAGCTCTATGATGAGTTTCGTGTCTGTTTAGGTGGGTGGGTGGATGGGTCGTGACTGATTTGCAAGTTAAGAATTCACACGCTGATTCAAAAAACCTTTGCTAAGATTTGCGGGAGACAACAAAAAGGCAGAACAGTGGGAGTAGATATGATGGAGTCAGGAAGGGCTTTCCAGAAGAGACCTGTCAGCTGAGGAGTGACCCAGGCAGAGCTACCCTTGCTTGGGGGAGTGGGGACAAGTTTAGTGATTGAGACCCCAGTGAGTATAAGGAGGGAGGTGGGGACTGGAGGAGGAGCTTACCTTACCCGGACAACAGAGGGTAAGAGTTTGGCTGCCCATGTGGGAGAATGGGAAATGACAGTCTATAAATATTTAGTATTTAGCTGGTAAGAAAAGAATTTAGGTATTGATTGGATATCAGAGATAAAAGAGAGCTAGGGGTCTAGGACTTCTGGTGGAGGCTGAGGAGGGGCGGTAAATAGGTTAGAAGAGATGCCAGAGACTTGCTGAATTTGAGGCATTAGTGGGATAGCCAGGCTGGTAGCCTTCCCAGTCTCAGAGGGGACTGAGTCCCACCCATCCAGGGGTATTGGGACACTCTCTCCAATTCCTGGGTTTTGTGAAACCCTCCCTCTTAAGTTCTGTGTGTTGGGAGATGATCCCCCAACCAATCTTGTGTATTGGAGACCCCCTTCCACGTCCATGGGTGTCGGGGCTCCCTCGCCCCAGTCGCTGAATGTGGGAAGCCCCCTCCCTCCCACCATGCCCGGATGTTAGGATCCCACTCCTACCCGTGGGCGTTCTGGCTCCTCCCCCACAGCCGGTGGGTCCTGGGTCCAGGTGACCGCCAAGCGATGGCGCGGGCGGCGCCGGCTCCAGGCGGCGCCCTCGGCCTGGCCCTGGCGCTGTGGGGCTGGGTGCTGGTTCCCGCCGAGGCCATGGACGCCATAGGTCCTCACACAGCCGTCCGTCTGGCCGAGCTGCTGACCCCGGAGGAGTGCAGCCATTTCCAGTCGCTCCTGAAGACCCCGGCCCCGGACGTCGAGGCCGAGCTGGCCAGGCTTTCGGAGGATCGGTTGGCCCGGGCCGAACCGCCAGGGCCCACGTCGGGGTCGCAAGGCCGGCGGCGGCGGGGGGCGAGGGCCCTGGCGGCTGACCCCGAGGAAGTGTCCGACGGCTGCCGGGAGGGGCTGGCGGCTTGGCTGGCCGCGGAGGCCCCGGCTCTGCCCTGGGACCGCGTGGCCCGGGCCCTGCGGCGCTGCGGCCGCCCCGACGTGGCCCGGGAGCTGGGCAAGAACCTCCACCAGCAGGCGACGCTGCAGCTGCGCAAGTTCGGGCAGCGCTACCTGCCGCTCGGCCCCCCGGCCCCCGCCCCGGCCGCCCGCGCGGCCCCCGCCGCCGCCCCGCGGTCCCGCCGCGCCTCGGCCCCTGAGCCCGACTGGGACGCGTTGGAGCTGATCGTGGAGCGGCTGCCCCAGGCACCGTACGAGCGCAGCCCTGCGGGCTGGGCCGGGCCGCTGGCGCTCGGCCTCCTCACGGGCTTCGTGGGGTCGCTGGGCGCCGGGGCGCTGCTCATCGTGCTCACGCTGTGGATCACCGGGGCCGATGGCGGCCGGGTGCGGACCGGCAGCCCCGGCCCGCCCGTCACCGCCTGGCTCAGGCCAGTCGAAGCGCGCGGCGGGTGGGAGGCAAGGCCTCTCTTGACCGAAGAGCAGCTCCTGTCGCCAAGGGCCCGGGCCCATTCCACCTGGGCTGCAGATGGGCCCGATCCTCCCTCACCCCCGGGCCCCTGGCTGTAAAGTGGGCACAATCTGATGGAGTGCTACCTTTGACGTATTTTAAAAGTTACAAAACAAGCAAAGGAGGGAGCAATCGGTTTGTTAGCTCGTGCGAAATGACAGTCGTAGCCAGGAGGGCTGCAAATAGAAGAGGAAGATCCGTGCCGTCTACCAGAGGGTAGGAGGCAGGCCCTCCCAATTCTTGTCAGCTTTAGTTTCTTATTTAGAAATTATTCTTCCACTAAGTTACCACTTACTGAGCACGAACTGTGTGTCAGGCCCCATGCTAAGCAGTTACATACATTATTTGATCTAATTTTGAAAACCCAGGCAGAAGGTATTATCTCCATTACATAGAAGGAAACTCTGGTTAGGAGTTCCTGACCCACGTGTACTTAGGAGCATGGTTAGGCTTTGAATCCAGAGCTGCCTGAGCTGCAAGTGTGAGCTCCAGAGGAAATGATCTGTGAGCAGTAAAGGAGCTTGGGAAACATCATGGGACTAGGACAAAATGCTGGCTTCTGTTTAACTCTGAGGCCCTGCGCGAGTGTGTAGGGGGTGATCCACCAGAGGTGTGCCCACTGCCTCCAAGCTTCTCTTCCCACTCTGGCGAGGCCTCCTGAGGCTCTGCCTAGAGCCACAGACGTTTCTCACCACTTGAATGGCTGGGGCACTGGCAGCCCATCCAAGGACCCGAGCCTGGGTGAGCGCTCACATAGACTCTGCTCAGACTGTGTCCCCTGTCACAGGGGAAGGCAAGAGGACAGCTGTGGGGTTCTGCTGGGTGGGAGTGCTTGACTTCCCGCCCACCCGTGGCTAAGGGGATTTGGTGCGAGAGCAATGACAATGACAGGCCAGTCCAAGAGGAGAGTTGAAAACAAGTTTGACGTAACCCTTTATTGCAAATTCTAAAGTAAAAAGATGTACAGTACAAAGTAAAATTGAAATTTCAGACTATAAACTTCCAATCCACTTATACATTCTCATTTCTCAAGCATTTCTGCCATTTCCGCATAAACGGAACAGGGAACAAGTCGAGGGGGGAGGGAAGGAGATACAGCAAGGAAAAAAATTAAGTGTCTAGAATAATCACGAACCCCAGAAGCAAGTGAAAGGAAAGATATTTTCTCGACCTGCTGTCCTGGTGATGAGAAGCGGGGTGGTTGGAGCAGTGCAGTTTAGAATGGCTCTCAGAGTAGCAGCATTTATGGTACCATTTCATCTTCCTTAAGTCCAGATAATACTTTGCCCTTCCCTAGTGCCTTTGCCTCTGTATCTCAAAACACTTTACACAACATTTAGTTAAAGCCTCACAACACCCCTGTGAGGTAGGTCAGTATTATTATCCCCATTTTACAGATGGGGAAACTGAGGCACAGAGAGGTTAAGTGACTTGCCCAAGGCCACACAGCGAGCCAGCGGTCAAGCTGGGAATGGAACACAGGAGTTCTGTCCCTTTTCTGGAACCACTGGATCCCGCTCCCCTTTACCTATATACATTCTTCACACACACACACACCACACGTGCACACCTGCCCACCCCACCCCACTTAGCCTCTATGTACAGCAAACAACAGTGGGGGCAGGGGCAGGGGGTGCCTCAGGAGCGTTTTAATGGAGGAAATCTTGGTAATCTTGAAAACGGAATCCAAGAAAGCACAGAGCTGAGCCACAGTGCAGACTCTGTGCAAACCTTGGGCCCCTCCCAATCCAGACTTCCTCCTCTCTCCTGATGTCCCCCTGGCTGGCTAGTTGCAGCCAATTCTTTAGGGGGTGGGAGTACCTGAAAATGAATGAAACTTTTTGCAAAACTTTGGGCAACATCTGAGAAAAGATAGAGGCATCGTTACAGAAGATGCCCAGGACTCACGTCACAAAGTCATAACCCATGGCAATCTCACCTCCACAGTAGGCCTGGAGGCTGGGGCTGGGGATGGATGAGAACTGACCTACCAGCCATTTCTCTCCAGAGTGGAGCTACTGGAGCAGACTAGAGTGGGCACTTCAGAATCCTCCTGAGAGTGTTCCTGGACCGGGAGACATGGCCTAGAGAAGGATGTCCCCAAAGCAGGGCAGGGTGAGGGAAGGGCAGGGGTCCCCCTCACCCCTGCACAAATGTGAATGAGACCAGCCCTAGTCTGTTGGTTTATCTGCGGGGTGATGGAGGGCAGGGCCAGCATTAGTTAGCAGAGTGGAGGCTGTTGGGCATCGCGCAAGCCTGAGCTTTGGGGCATTGGGAACATTTTTTTCCCCACATACTCGTGAAAAAGGCAGAAGTAAGGCCAGCCTAGCTAGGTTGGCTGATATCATCTCTGGGGGCTCTGCCAGGTGAACTGGTGAGCAAGGGGTTTCATGGGCCTTTAAGCACCAGCCCAGGAGGGGAGGAATGCCACATGCAATGGGTGAATGCGGATGGAGGGGTGTCAGGACCTTGCTTTTCTCTCCAATCTCTACTTCTCAGCCAGAACTTTGCCAGAGGCCCTGATCTCTCTCCCATTCCCCTCCTTTCCCCAATTGTGCTAAGGTCCCAATTCCCAGACCCCTCCCAGGACTCAAGAATTGGGACAGTCAAGCAACAAAAACACCAAGACAGGCTTCCCTTGTACAGTAAAAAGGGTCATTTTTATTTTGTTTCCTTTTTTGGCTTATAGTAGTGATGTATATTTTCTCACGCCTCATCTAGAGCAGTGTCGGCCTCCATGCATTCACTAATACACTAATCTTCACTATTGGTCTTTTACAAGTTTACACTGGTTGCGGCGAAAAATAAAATAACTCTGGGCACTGTCATTCCAGGGGCTTTGACTGGGAGTTTCTGTTGATCTCTCCCAGGTCAACTTCTGGTGCCAAAGAGGCTCATTTAGCCAGGAGTGGGAGTCGGTCATGCTGACTCCGAAGTCTTCCCTGCTCTCGCCCTCTGCTTTAAATGGTGGAGTCTCCTTGTCCTAAGCAACAAGGAGGTTAAGGAAAGAGGGGAAAGTGTTTTTCACAAAAACCAGCAACCATGTCAGCTGCTGCTCAGTGGCTTTGGCTCTGCATTTTAAATTAACAGCATCACACATATCTTTTTGCTTTTTGTCCTTTTTTTTTTTTTTAAAGGTGGATTGTGGAGTATAAATACTGCACCAAGGACCTGGCTACAAAAAATAAATATTTATATTATATTTATATATCTATATATATATATGTGCAGTGATACTGTGGCTGCTGCTGCTTTTTTATTGGCTTCGTTAATATTTGGCAAAGCGTTGCCACTTACCCACTCAGTAAAGACGTACAGAATCGTCATCACTGATTCTTTCAGTTCAATGCCTGTTAACTGCGGGTGTAAACTGCTGGTGATGGTGTCATTTACTACCAAGGAAATGTGGAGCAGGGTGGGTGAGTGAGTGAAAGAGTGAGCGAGCAGGTGGGTGGAGGGACAACGGGGAGGGGAAAGACGGTGGGAAAAGTTTGAAAAAAAGTGAAACTCCAAATAGAGTGGAGGTGGCTTCTTCCCTATGAAGCTGACCGATGGGTGTCAGATACCAAGGTCCATGTGTGTGACTGAGGAGATAGCCTGCTGGGCTGGGGTGAGGTCTGGGGGGAGGAAAAGGTCAGATCTCAGAAAAACCTCATTAATATGCTCTAGTAGCTCAATGACATCACTAGCATGAGCACTTGGGGTACCGAGTGGGATCTTATAGCTCTGTTGCCCATCTCAAACCTAAGAACAATTATGAAGTTTAGCCAAATCTTGCATAGAAGTGGTTAGAATTTATTGCACATTGGAACAAAAATATATATTTGTTGTTTTGGAAAAGACCATTAGCAATAAAAAATTTTTTGTCTGTCTGTCTGGTTTGGGGATGTACACTGGCTGACAGCATCTAAGTTCTAAGGAAAAAAAGTATAAAAAATAAAAATAAACATGACAATGGCATAAGCCAGAAGCCATTTCCTATTTAATAAGTTAATAATTTGTATTTACAAAAAGGCATGCTAATAAAATAAAATGATATATTACAGTATTTATAATTCTCTTAAAAAGAATAACCACACATGTCAGCTTCTGTTTTGTGCTGTTTATGATGTAGCCTGTACATGTTACTATACATTCGTCCTAGCAGTTAGCAGGGTCACCGAAAGAAATGCCATCCCAACCCCATATCGGGTGCAGTACAAAAGTTCTACGGGTGAGGCCGCAGAAGCAGGCTTACAAGAGCTGGATAGCATCTAATGGTCCAACAAGACAGAAGGCTCTGCTTACTGACTTGCTGTGGTTTGTTCTAAGCAAAACTAGTCAGGTGGACTGTGAAAATACATCCAAAGTGCTTCTACTGCAAGGCAGATTGGTGTGTCTGATTATGGGTTGTTCTCTCCCCCTCTATTGTATGGTTCAGGGAGAATTTATTTTGATTTGGTTTGCAAGCTAAAGTCTCTCCTCATTCTTTGTATAGACTTCCTGACTCATTCAACTGCAGCATCTTGGCTTTAAAATCTAGTCGTCAGATGAGAAACCCCTGGACTAAAAACTGTCTTCCCTAAAGCAGGAGATGGAATGGAAGATAGGTCGCTCCCCCCAAAGCCACTCTCCAATGACAATGAGCGGGTTGCTAAGCAGATAGCAAAACTGGCTGAAAGGGAATGTGCTGGGGGAAGCTGGAACATTTTAAGAATTAATATTAAATCGCTTTCTCATGAGAATCAGTGCAATAAAGAAACCAAGTGGGCTTGGTTCAGAGGTGGCTCCATCTCTACCTCAGGCCCCACCAGTAACGATTTATTCTCACAATAAATGAAAGAAACCATAGCCACCGCCCCAATGCTGCTGCCCTCACCCCCCTCTGTGGGTAAGGGAAGCCCTGCTTGGTGGAAGATGTGATGGCGGCAAGAGGAGTATGCAGTGTGTGAGCCTGCAACAACCCCTCTGGAAGTGAGGACTGTTCAGAATGTCTGAGCCCCTCTCCGTGTGGACCCAAGCTCAGAGAAAGCCACAATGCAGAAGGACATGATACTATATAAGTGAACACCCCTTAACC